TTAAACCACAAATTCTTTGATGATCCAATTTAAGTAAATATCTACTTGGCTGTTTGTAGAAGTTTATATTGTTTGATTTAATTGGACTAGAGACATCGATTGTTATTATTGGTTTTTGACACTTGCGGTGATTTTTTTGCGTCTTTCGCTGTCAGATGTAGCGCTACTACACGTGGCAGCATTTACCCAAAGATCGCAAATTTTACATATTTGTGGCTAAAACAAAAGTCAAACTTAGTAGTTTTTGGGTAATTTCATCAGTAATGAATGTGGAGAAATGAAGCCATAATGTAACTTTAAGCTCTTTATGTTGGAAGCCCACGTGATCATGTGATCACTAGTATTCGTCGATTTGCTTCACCTTTGCTTTGATTTTGTTTGATATTCTGGTTTTCCTTGCAAATAATTTTTATTTGGCAAACTCAATTTTTTTTCGCCTACCAACATGAGAAATATTAGTCAATGTTACGTCTTGAAATTAATATTGTTTGCTTAATAATTGAACTCCAAGTTTTCTTAGGGATTAGTTGTTATTCAGTGTTATTGTTTTTTGACACTTGCGGTGATTTTATTTGTTATTCGGATCCAGATGTAGCGCTTCTCATTTACTCATAGTTGTAGCTCGAGTGGTATTCATCTCACCGTCGCTCGCTTGTGTTTATCCACAACCGAAGTTAAATTATAAAACTATATTMATAAATCGTTTATTTAAAATTCTATTCATTAAGTAAATTTGATTCATCATTATATCTTTCTGTATTCGTCTGCACAATCAATCTTCGAGTTGTGTTGCCATTGGCGGCTTGATTTGCTTCTATTTTGAGTGACAAGAAAAGTACGAATAAAACCGTATTAATTTTATTTCCGATTCTCTATTAATTTTACTATTTTTCCCTGAAAATTCTATATAATAAATATGTTATTAACCTCGCTTGATCGAGCCGTACGGGAATTTATGGACCTCGTTTTTTACCGCTCAGACTGATGTCAGTGGAAAAAGTGTCAGAGGAAAAAACTCGGTCCATAACTTCCCTTACTGCCCTCACGCTCAGTTAATAAGATATTAGAATGTAGATTTTTTGAAATAATTATAATTTGATTCATCGTATTGTTTGTCCACACAATCAATCTGAGTTATGTTGCCATTGGCGACTGTTGATTTTTACGTTCGCTTGTTGTTATTCTTGGCGCAAATAATAGACGTTTATCGAGCATTTGTTTTAATTCGAATTTTTGCTCCATCGCTCTTTTTGGGATAGGTAGCACAGCGTTTCGACGCGACAACAACATTTTGAACTATTGACAATAACTCAAATAGACGCCGCACTTAATATTAATAGACGCCGTCCGGGTGCGGTATCTAATTTGAGGAAATAATGATACCAGCAATGGGAATTGTTTTCTTTTAAAACATTTTTTATTTCAAAGTAACTGTACATTTTTGCTTTCAGCAGCTGTTAGATTTCGACATTAATGTTGGAATAGAAGTGTAACCCTGGTCAAAATCATAAATTGAATAGACAAAATGAACACGACCATTTGGATATTGATTTTCGTTACTGTTTGTTAGTAAAAAGATACAATATAAAGTATACGATATTTAGTACTGAATAAAGTGTTTTTTAATAAACGCCTCACCCGAATAGACGCCGCACCTGGATCGTGAAAAGTGAAATAAACACCGCGGCATCTATTTGAGTAAATACGGTAGTTTCGCAAGTCTTTGAGAAGGAGAAACACTACTTTTTTAAAACTTGTTTGATGTTGTTTGATTTTTCCGTTGACAGGTACTATGTGATATGATATTTGGCCATTCTTGGGTTGCATATGACATCATTAGTAGAAAAAATTCTAAAATCACAGACAAACGTACAACATTGTAATACTAAATTACCTTGAAGAGCATAGTAGAAATACTCTCTGAATGTTGAATTTTTTTGCTGTTTATTCATTGAGTTACAAAAGTTCAAAAATAAGTCCGCAATACTGTCACGCGACTTGATACACGCCAAAAAACCTCGAAAAAAGCCTTTTAATCTCAAAATAATTATAGTCTCAGCATCAAATCAAGTGTTTACAATCATATTGTTATAAAGGTGAAGCAAACTCATTAGTTTTAATCTTCTTGTTGCCGCAGATTAAGACAACGTCATGGCGTCCCATTCATTTCTTTGTAAAGTAAGAACGTACTAAGCGCTCATATTTTCGCTACAAAATTACAGTTCGAATTCAAATTTTAAATAACTGTTGGGAAAGTTATATGCATTTTTTGGATCTTAGACTTAAAAAATTCATTTGGTTCTTAAGACAAAACTTTTTGTAGGTGTTTTAGTTTGAATACGTTTTTGTTTTTGTAACGTCTTTGTGTTCCCTGAAGATGACCGCTTAGGTCGAAAGCTTGGAAAGAAGTTTAAAATTATTCATGGTTGATTAAACAAACTGCGTATAAATATGAAAAATACAACCAACAAAGATCTTTTAAAATGATGTTATTGTTTTGATCTTATATAATTCACAAAGCAAAATGAATCTCTTTCCCCTTATGACACCGGTAATTGCAGAAACGTTGTTAAGAAATAGGGTGACCACTTTCAAGTGTCATTTTATAAAATCGATGGTAGGCACTTATAGAAACATTCATCACTGTGTCCCCATAGATGAAATATGAGAAATGTTTGAACTATGAGAGACTATGAGAGCTATGAGAAAGCTGAAATCATGGGCTAAATACTAACTAAATACAAGGCTGTTTTAAGCATGAAATTCTTCCCAGCCTTGGCAGCCTCGTTTAGGCGTTTTTGTCAGCATCATGGATTTAACGATGATACTGATGGAGGTTAGTGTCGGCCATTATGAAAGTTATCAATATCGTTTATTTTTGATATTACTTTCATAATGGCCGACAGGAATAAGGCAAAAGAGGTAGTCGTTTCCTTTCTTTCCTTTTTTTCTCTATAACAACATTTTGCATTTAGATT